TTATATAAGTGTATATATATATTATATAAGTGTATATATATATATATATATATATATATATATATATATATATATTTATACAATTTAATCTTTATATATTTCTCAAATCGAAAACAAGTACAATTATACTTTTAACTTGGCAATTGAACCCATTGTATACAGTATTATCTACTTTTTTTTCTCACCAAGTTTTCAACCCTAATGCCATGGATATCAATCCGAAAAATCAAACTGTTGTGCCAGACGAATAGTAAGTGTTCCTCCTAGAAGTATAAAATACATTTTCTATATAGTATTTGATTTTGTTTTGTTTTGTTTTGTTTTTTTTTTTTTATCCCAAATGATGCTTTCAACAGCAAATGTAATGTCCTAATGGCCTGTTAATCACATAAAATGGCTTTCTATAATTATATGAGGCATGTGTCATTATTAACAAGGCTGAAATATTAAGGATCATGGTGCTCTACCTTTGTTTTTTATAAACTATTATTTGAAAGTGCTGCCTTGAGAAATTTCAATTTTTTATTACAGCCTTGGCACAGTACGATCGGTGCGTCCCCTGAGTCCAGCTTCGCAACACAAGACTGACATCATCTTGCAGCAACTGGCCCCTTACTATAAGTACCATGGCATCAACATTCAAACCAGCTTTGAAGATTTTGATATGCACAACATAGGCCTAGTGACTGACAGTCAGGTAAGTTGCTCATCCGTCTATTATTGATTTTCACTTGTTATTTTATGGCCGCATATTTAATTGATTATAATACTTAATTTAAACAGATCCTTTCCTTAATAATTTATATGTTAACTCTATATACCATGTAATTAATTTTTCAGTTTTACAGAAGCTTTCCACGACCCCCTGGCTTGGATGAGAATGATCTTCGATTGTTGGCTCGTCGATACCTTGACCCTGATAAACCTAGTCTTTGTAACTACCTTAATTTGCACCATGACTTGGAGAAGATCCAGGAGAAGAGTGAAGACCACCTCTTTGCTGCTCCCCCTCCAGCTTCATATAACATTCCCAGAGAGGTTTGCACACATTGAATTTGGATTGGATTGGATTTATTCGGTGTAAACGTCAAGGATAGCCCACGAAAGTCTAGAAAAAGACTTATTTCCAGTGGGGTCCTTCTGGTGGTGATTGGACAGTACACCGGGAGACAATCCGCTACTCTTTTCCGAAGAGTGTACTGTGTTCTTTAACGTGCACATGGGCCATAAATGCACACAGGACCAACGGCTTAAACGTCTCATCCGAAAGACGGTGCGCTATGTAACTTGTATTTCAGCCCTCTAGCTGAAACACAAGGAGAGGCAGCAATGGGAATTGAACCAGGGCCTGGAGATCTCCACGGTTCAGCACACACACAGTGGCACCACCAGATTAGCCGACTGAGCTAAGCTGCTCTCTCTATTTCACTTGATAAATATATTTTAACACTATATTTGTTTTTAAAATCTAAATATCGTGACCTAATAACAACAGTGTTTACATCTCTCCTGTTAATCTATTTGAATGTTTATTATTATTATTATTCATTAATATATCAACATCATGATTAGATGTCTTGTTAAGTTGTGGAAGAATTCCTAAAATTGGAACAATTTCTTGCTCTCTTGTAAGTAAGTAAAAATTTCCCGAAAACTAACTAATCTTCCAAAACTATGATGCTTGCATATTTATATTACTGTATTATGTATTCCTGAAGTCAGCTAGTCATGGTATCCCATTCGTAGCACAATGCAATAGATGTGTTAAGAAAAGCTCATTAAACTCATCATCATCACTACCGTTGTTGCCACCACTATCGTCATTATTATTTTACAGAATGTGCCTAGTGGAACCACCCAACAGCTCTTTAGTAAGATCCAAGTTGCTGTGCACAAGAATGGAGTGCGTACCACAGAATTCTTCAAAGACCATGACCTAGAGATCTCCACGGTTCAGCGCACACACAGTGGCACCACCAGATTAGCCGACTGAGCTAAGCTGCTCTCTCTATTTCACTTGATAAATATATTTTAACACTATATTTGTTTTAAAAATCTAAATATCGTGACCTAATAACAACAGTGTTTACATCTCTCCTATTAATCTATTTGAATGTTTATTATTATTCATTAATATATCAACATCATGATTAGATGTCTTGTTAAGTTGTGGAAGACTTCCTAAAATTGGAACAATTTCTTGCTCTCTTGTAAGTAAGTAAAAATTTCCCGAAAACTAACTAATCTTCCAAAACTATGATGCTTGCATATTTATATTACTGTATTATGTATTCCTGAAGTCAGCTAGTCATGGTATCCCATTCGTAGCACAATGCAATAGATGTGTTAAGAAAGCTCATTAAACTCATCATCATCACTACCGTTGTTGCCACCACTATCGTCATTATTATTTTACAGAATGTGCCTAGTGGAACCACCCAACAGCTCTTTAGTAAGATCCAAGTTGCTGTGCACAAGAATGGAGTGCGTACCACAGAATTCTTCAAAGACCATGACAAGCTGCGAAGTGGTGTTATCACAGAAAATCAGTTTGTATGCGGTTTGATGTTGTGCATCGGTAAGGAGGCATATCTTACGAGAGGAGAAGTACAGCACCTCGTTGATATTTATAAGACCAAGGATGGACGAGTATGTTACAAGGACTTTTGTGATTTGATGGAAAATGGTGAGGATATTTATCAATAAAAGAAGTACTGCATTTTTTCTACTTACGTTTTTAAATAGTTTTACTATGCTAATTTGTGTATGGTATAATAACAAATTATGATATTACCATATGTATTTCAACATTATCTATAAAGATAATTAACATTAACTAATCCTATCTGTTATAATTAAAGCATTTAACGAACCCCATCTTGAGAAGAAACCAGAATTTGAAGTGGTGCGACCTCCACAGGGTGCTCTCTCTCGTTCATTGAACCCACTGACGGAGAAAGAAGAAGCACGCGTACAGGAGGTACTCAAGACACTGGGAGAAGACGTTAAACGAAGACGACTGATGATGTTTCAATACTTCAAGGATTTTGATAGGGCAAGTCAAACATTATTGAGAGCATGCACGTGTAAAGCCCTGTCCAGACTATTAAATTTTACATATGGTCATGATGACATCACATCATGTCCATATATAGGCACATCATGACTATATATGGGCATACAGCAGTATTTTATGGTCATGATGACATCACATCATGACCATATATAGGCACATCATGACTATATATGGGCATACAACAGTATTTTATGGTCATGATGACATCACATCATGACCATATATAGGCACATCATGACTATATATGGGCATACAGCAGTATTTTATGTCATGATGACATCACATCATGACCATATATAGGCACATCATGACTATATATGGGCATACAGCAG